CCAGGCTTGGCAAGTCCCACTGACCCAGGCTTGGCAAGTCCCACTGACCCAGGCTAGGCAAGCCCCACTGACCCAGGCTAGGCAAGTCCCACTGACCCAGGCTAGGCAAGGTCCCACTGACCCAGGCTAGGCAAGTCCCACTGACCCAGGCTAGGCAAGTCCCACTAACCCAGGCTTGGCAAGTCCCACTAACCCAGGCTAGACAATGCCCACTAACCCAGGCTAGGCAGGCCCTCAAACTCAACCCTTCTCAATTTTATTTTTGGCTATCCTGTTTTGAAAGCTATCCAAGCCAGTGGCAGAAATTCTCTTACATCCATTTAAATAATATCCTTAAAAAGCAAGGCTTAGGAAGTGACTTGATGCTCTCAGGAGGCAGCTTACATTGCATTTCATTAAGCAGTAAACCTGCGTGGGTCACTGCACACAGTGTTGGAGGCTCGATCCTCCGCCCGATATAAGCAAGCATTATTCCGAGATCAGTGAGGCTGTTGGTAATGTTTTATATTTAAAAATAAAAGCCACAGTACCGTGGCTGGAGTGATCCTCTGAATTAACTTATTGAAGCGGTAGATTAAAAGATATTTCGCTGTCTTAAGTCTCCTTTCTCAGTTGTGGCACTTGTAAAATCTTGGGTGATACTGAACAACACTTACAGATAAAACATTAACAGATTTCGATTTATGGGGACTGACAGCTTGTTACATCAGTACATTTTTAATTACAAAGGTTAGGTAAGGTTTGTCAGGAAACAGAACACGTGTTTACTCACTTGGGTCTTAGTCATATGATGATCCGCAGTTGGAGCTTTTGGTCATCTGACCGAGGCCTTCCACTGGCTTACCGGTCCACCCCTTTAAAAAATATTATAACTTTAATCACTAAAGGTTAAAGTGAAAATGGGTGAACCAGAGGACAATGAGAATAAATGGTTGAGCCGAAGAATCAGAGAGAGAAAGAATGGACCGAGTGATAGTGAAGGAAATGGGTGGACCTCTGAATAGAGGAAAGATTATTGGGTAGTGAGAGAGAGAGAGATGGATAAAGGATAAAAATGAGTGAATCCAAGAATGGAGAGACAATGAGTTGATCGATAAACAGGTGAGAGGAAGAAAATGGGTGAGGCAGGGAATAGAAAGAGAGTAGTTTACCAAGGAATGGATTAAATTATAAATGGGTGGACCGTGGAACGAGTGACAGAGAAAATGGATAGTTTAAGGGATGGGCTAGAGAAAATGGTTGTGCAGAAGGACGAGCAAGAAGGAAGAGGAGAAAGGATGAACCGACGAATGGGAGAAAAAAAAAAACATGAGCAGAGGGATGGGAAAGAAAGAAATGGGTGCACTGAACTCTTAGGTAATGGGGATGGGGGGACCGAGTCACTGCTGGGAGAAAATGGGTGGGCAAACTATGCCTTCCAAAATCCCATGTTTTCACTCTCATTCTATTGTGTATTTAAGTTTAAAAATTTAAAAGCAAGAAAATAATTGTATTTTATCTGTATACCCAGAACATGACTGCAAGAACGCCGGCTTAGTATGCATTTCCGTCTAACTCAGGTACGTGTTTATTGTTGCTCCTAAAACTACTTACAAATGTATGAATACACACACTGTGCCGTGTATGTCTCTCCGTGTATTATAAGCTGAGAGTATACTTTAATCCGTATTTTAAAGATTATTCTAGACTGGTGATAAACGGGAGAGACATGCAGCCTTATTGACCCTTGTGTGATCGATAGACAGAGCCAAATTAACCAGCCATCTATCAGGAACAAGCAATACTTTTAGTATTAATGTAAGAAGAACCATAAAATCTCCTGAGAAATGCGTCTAGTCTAGTCTATTTACTACACGAGGGTCATGGAGGCTACATATCACGTGAGCACCGCCAGTCAAGATCACTTAATCTCTAAAGTAAGACTTAAAGTAGAACTCGCAATAAAGAATAAAAACGCACAAATACCATGAGTGGAACAACGTACAAATAACCAGAAACGTCGTCACAAGTTACTCTCCTACGAGCCAGTTATTTGTGTATAGAACTCTGTGTATATTCTCGGATAGAATATTGATATATATATATATATATATATATATATATATATATATATATATATATATATATTTATAATGTTGTGCCGAATATGTAACACTTGCGATCTTGGCTTAAATAGCAACGCTCATCTTGTCATATAAGACAAGCGAAAATTTGTGTATGCAATAATTTCGCAAAAATTATCATGAACCTAACGAAAAAAATATATTTCATTATGTTTGTTTAGTATTAAATTATTGTAAACGTATCTAAAATATATTTAGTTGGATTAGGCTAAAATAAATTGCGCTTGTTATAATAAGGTTAGGTAAGTTTTCTAAGATTCTTTTGGTGCAAAATTATAAATTTTTACAATAACATTAATGAAAAAATATATCTTTAAACGTATAAGAGAAAATTTTATAAAGGACTTTTTACCTATTAGGCACGACACAACACACACAACACCACCCACACCACACACACACACACATATATGTATATATATTATATATATATATATATATATATATATATATATATTATATATTTATATATATATATAAATATATATAATGTGTGTGTGTGCACTCGTTTTGTATATTGTAAGTCTGATCAAATTATGTAATTAAGCTTTTATAGAGGAGTAAATATCTTTGCGTGGGATAATGTCATTATGTTGACAATGTATATTCCACGAGATTATATTAAGTATTTTGAAAACGTTCAATCAAAGGGTAATCTTATTAAGGTTAAAATTGAAGGATAAAACCAAGATAAGGAATATTAAATTCAACGATGAAATTAAAAGAGGATTAACTACTCTGCTTTTGAGGGGAACAGGAGCTATGTGGATTTATTTTATTAATGTGTAGTTCGTTCATGGCAAAAGGGCTGGTCGAGGCTCGATCCTACATCCGAAAACTGCGGCACAGTCACCCTTGTTTATCTTTTCTCTCATTGTTGTAGGTGTACCTTGAATGCTGCAACCATTTAGCAGGTGCTGACCAGTGCTCTTGCGCATCATCTTCTAGATGGTGGAAAAAACAAGTGATGTTATCTTAGAAACTACTTTGGAAGAACACATTCTCTCACCTTGAGACGACCTTGAGAGAACACTTGATGTCACATTCTTTGACACTACCTTGGAAAAAATAAGTTATGTCATTTTGAGGTGACCTCGAGAAAAAAAAAAAAATAATTGATGTCATTTTGGGACACCAAAATTAACAAGTGTTATAAAAAACTATTTGACAGTAGACAATAGACAGTAGCCACCCAAGACAGTAGCCACCCAAGACAGTAGCCACCCAAGCACGGTCCACTAAATCCTTCCCCAGGTGAAAGACTCACCTTGGTGCAGGGTTTAAAGTCTTTAAACCTTGAGGGATTGCCTGGAGCCTCCCAGAACTGGGTCACCTTGAACTTTAAATAGAACCTGAAAATCTGGGAGTCGGGGGGTCCGATCTGCAGTCTTTTAAAAATAATATGGGGGCATTAAAGAATCGCGTCTCGTCATAAAACCAAGGTGCTGTGCTGTTCTGTGCTGTGCTGTGCTGTTCTGTGCTGTGATATGCTGTGCTGTGCAGTCCCACAGCTTCATGCAGGTCGAGGCAGTGAGAGCTGGGAAGTATTTAAAGAGTGGAGTGATAATATTAGGTAAGGCTGGTAATGTTTACTCTACTGTGCCGCGTCCTGAGTTTCATCTCTGGGGAAGTCGAGGGAGAGAGAAGGGGGAGGGAGAGAAAGAGAGGGGAGAGAAAGGTAGGAAGGGTAGAGAGAAAAGGGAAAAGAATGGGAATAGCTGCACTTATACTGAAAGCGGAAGGTGAGAGGTATAGGAATGAGTATAGGAAGTAAGGGAAGAAGGTACAGGGTCATGGAGGAGGGAAGTGCAGGAGAGGGGAGGATGAAGGGAGAAGATAGAGGGAAAGAGGAGGAAGGTAAGAAGCCGTGGATGAATGTTGAGAAGCGGAGGAAAGGAATGGGAAAGATGAAAGAGGAAACGAGACAGAGGAAGGAGTTAAAGGCGGAGAGAAAGGAGAAGGAAGAAAGAAGGGAAATAAGAAGGATAGAAAAACAGGAAAGAGTGAAGGTAATGGGAGGAGAGAGAGAGAAGAAAGGGAAAAAATGGATAAAATAGGATAATGAGAGAAGAGAGAGGGGAAGGAGTGTTTTGTAGAGATATAATAATGATCAACGAAGGAGTCAAAAAATAAAAAGAACATGTTTAATAGTTTATACAAAGCATTAAACCAGCTTAGGTTTAGTGCGCAAAGAATAGTGGATGCTTGTTCCTCCTTCCGCTAATCGTCAGAAATACACAACCACTTAGCATACACTAGTCTAGGGTCAGTAGGCGTGTGGTAAGGAGATTGGAAGTGTGGTACAAAGGACTGGACGTGTGATGCAAAGGATGGGACGTTTGCTACACAGAATTGGACATACTTATAATTAAAACAATTAATATTTTATTGTGTTGAAACGGTAAATTATCATAATTTTAATAAAACTTGCTGTTGACACTGCGTTAAAAAAAGTATGAACAATATGGATGAAAGGAATGTACACGTAGGACATCTTTATTGGGTGCGTGTCGGTCCTGGGACCTCGGTCACTCCAAATGATTGAAGAAAATGAGAGAACTCTCTTGAACTAGATAAACGAAGGCAAACTGCAATTTCCTGATGTTCCTCTATGCAGGTCACATAAAAACACCCTGTATTTCAGAGTCTACAGAAAACCTAACAAATAGAGACTAGACTAGTGACTACCTTACTCATTTCATCTCACACCCCGACACTCGCACCAGGAGAGCCATGGTCACTGGAATTTTCCTAAGAGATTTCTGCATTCCCAGTCATGTATTCTTAGAGGAAGAATTTCAGTACATCACACGTGTCTTCGCATGCTTGAACTTCCCTCCCTACTTCATACAAGATTGCAAACTCACAGCTACGAACATGCTCACCTCTACTAACAAAGCCACCAACGAGAACCCCAGATTCTCAGCTCTACCTGGAGGAATGGTCAACACTGCTAGACAAGCCCGTTCAAGAAACAACACTAATGTAGTTTCGATGGCCACGTCTTCCATTAGAGGTCTCACCAGGAAGATCACTAGACAAGAGGAAGAATTAGACATATGTTCAGCAACTTCTGGGTATCTTTACTTGTAGACGTTTCGTTATCCAGTAGCTTAATCAATACAATATATTTCTACAGACTTCAGATTACGTCCTTGTATTGATAAAGCCACTGGGTGGCGAAACGTCTACAAATTTCATCTTTTCGGTATTGTTTACCACTGATATGCATCACTATGACAAGCCCAACATTCAAGTAGGAGTGTAGTACACTATACCCTTGGGGAGGGGGATGTAAAAGAAAGAGAGAGGAATATTTCCACACAAGTCCGAGAACATAAACATGCGTGCAACAGGAACGACACAAGAAATTTTTGTAAATGTCATAGTGATACCGACAAACTGTGGAAGAGGCCACTTGTGTTGCTGTTCAGGACTTTATTAAAAGGAACGTTCCGCCACGAGTGGCTTTTTCTCGCCAAGAGTGATGAAGCCATCCCTGGCGAAGCATTGTCTTTGGTAAATGCCCTAAACGTCCTTTTTCACAGATTCCAGAAATGCGTGTGTCTTGCACAGAATCTGAAGAGGGGCATCTCATGTACTAAAAATAGAGTTGATCCGCAAACTCCAACATTCATAGGCGCCACTGTATTGAAGCTTCCTTAATCGCTACCACCACCACTATAGAACTAACAACTAACAAACACACTATCTTAACCACCCCTAACTCACGTGATACTACAGCTGCCACGTTACACGGCAATCAGATGACCTGATTCCCTCACCTGATCTTCACTAGTGACTTGCTCTCTCCACATTCTCCCTTTCTTTTGTATCGTTTGGTCTGACCAAGGACATAGGACCGCAATGTATCCAATAAAAATGTCCTGAGTATATAAACTGGTTTTATCCAGAGGAGTGTAGGTTTATTAAAGATGATTAGACGTGTGGTAACCAAGATTGAACGTATGATATAAAGAATTAGACTTAGGATACGAAAAATGAACGTGTAAAAAAAGAGGATTTAATGTGCTATAAAAAGGATTTAAGGAGTTATAAAGAGGATTTAATGTGTTGTAAAGAGGATTTAATGTGTTATAAAGGGGATTTAATTTTCTATTAATTGGATTTAACGTGTTATAAAGAGAATTTAATGTGTTATAAAGAGGATTAGACGTATAATTCAAAAAGAATCGGAAGAGTGGTAGACTGTATTAGAAGTGCTATAAAAAAATTAGCGTGTGGTAAAGAATGATTAGACGCCTGGCAAAGAGTGATTGGAAGTATTGTCGACAGGAGTGAAATTGTAATAGAAAGGCTAAGACGTGTTTTGTAAAGGGGATGTAAATAGCGTGCTGAAAATTTCCAGCCAATTTCTTAGACAGGACTCGCAGCAATGGTTTCAAGTTGGAAAAATTCAGATTCAGGAAGGATATAGGAAAGCACTGGTTTGGTAATAGAGTTGTGGATGAGTGGAACAAACTCCCGAGTACAGTTATTGAGGCTAAAACGTGTAATTTTAAAAATAGGTTAGATAAATACATGAGTGGGTGTGGGTGGGTGTGAGTTGGACCTGACTAGCTTGTGCTGCTGGGTATGGTGCCGTAATCTGGGGTGGGTGGATCCCTGGGCTAATCCTGGGGGGTGGACATGGCCCTGCTCCGCATGGGTCAGTAGGCCTGTTGCAGTGTTCCTTCTTTCTTATGTTCTTATGTTCTTATTACTGCGTAGGGGTGGGCTGAATTGGGAAGGGGGATGGGGTGTTGGGATGGGTTGGGTTGGGGGCAGGAGACTGAGGGATTGGGGGCTGGGGAAGGGAGGTTTCTCTGTGTTATAATCAATCAAAACGACGACCTCTCCTCTCTCCCGTCTCTCCCAAAATTAATGCCTAATCAGATGGATAGTTAATTGGAAATCAGAAGGTGCCAATCGTGTGACGTCACGGGGTGTGGGCGTGTGAGAATGAGGGTTTGGTCGTTTGTGTGTACTCAACCTGTACTCGCTCACCTGTGTTGGGGTGGGGGTTGAATCACCTCCCATGGACCAGCATCTCCACATATAGACGATCTGCATTATTATCAAACGTATGTATAAAGGCTTCTATAAGTACTATTAACAGTATTTAAGTTCGTTGCACTTGCTTTACCATCTTAAGATTAAAGAAGTACTTCCTAACAGCCCTGTGATTCAACCATATTATCTTTTCTCTGTGTTTACTTGGATCTTTTAAATTTAATGTAAAAAGATCAATCAGATCTATAAAAATTACATGAAATGTAAATTTCCTAAAATATCTTTGAACATACTCAAAAGTAGTCTATCCCTATCCACTCAATCAATATTTTTGAGGATTTCGTATATCGTAATCATATCTCCTCTAAAGTCGGAGAATTTTACTTTGTAATTAGGCATGCAATACGTTCTACTTGATCAACTTAAATGCTTAAGTGTACAGAGGATCGAGCTTCCACACAGTGAGCGTTCCATACGGGTTTAGGACGTCACATTAAGTAAATAAATGTATCTACATGGCAGATAATGTGTCACTGTATACTCTTGACGCAAGGCTCTCAGGAGCTGTGCTGCTGCTGCTACTGTTGTGCAGCTGCTACTACTGAGGCTGTTGCTGCTGATGCTGCTGCTGTTGTTGCTGCTGCTGCTGTTACTGTTGTTGCTGATGCTGCTGTTGCTGCTGCTGCTGCTGTTGTTGCTGATGCTGCTGCTGTTGCTATTGCTGCTGCTTCTGGTGTTGCTGTTATTGTTGTTGTTGCTGCTGCTGTTGTGCTGCTGCTGCTGTTGCTGCTGCTGTTATTGTTGCTATTGCTGCTGCTGTTGTTGCTGTTGCTGCTCCTGTTGCTGCTGCTGCTGTTGTTGCTGCTGTTGTTGCTGTTGCTGTTGCTGTTGCTGCTGTTATTGTTGTTGCTGTTATTGTTGTTGCTGTTGTTGTCGCTGCTTTTGTTGCTGCTGTTGTTGCTATTGCTGCTGCTGCTGTTGTTGCTGTTGCTGCTCCTGTTTCTGCTGCTGCTGTTGTTGCTGCTGTTGTTGCTGCTGCTATTGTTGCTATTGCTGCTGATGCTGTTGTTGCTATTGCTGCTGCTGCTGTTGTTGCTGTTGTTACTGCTGTTGCTGCTGTTATTGTTGCTGTTGTCGATGTTTTTGTTGCTGCTGTTGTTGCTACTGCTACTGTTTTTGTTGTTGCTACTGTTGCTGCTGATGTTGTTGTAGCTGCTGTTGCTGCTGCTGTTGTTACTGCTGCTGCTGTTGCTACTGCTGTTGTTACTGTTATTGCTACTGCTACTGTTGTTATTGCTACTGCTACTGTTGTTATTGCTGTTGCTGCTGCTGCTGCTGCTGCTGCTGCTGCTGCTGCTGCTGCTGCTGCTGCTGCTGTTGTTGCTGGTATTGTTGCTACTGATGCTGCTGGTATTGTTGCTACTGATGCTGCTGTTGATGTTGCTACTGCTTGTGCTGCTGGTGATGGTTTTGCTGGTGATGGTGGTGGTGGTGGTGGTGGTGCTGCTGCTGCTGCTGCTGCTGCTGCTGCTGCTGCTGCGGCTGCCTTGCTCCCCCACATCCATGCCTGAGCCTGCAGGGGCGAGGATAGGGTATACACACACACACACACACACCTCTGTTCTGGCAAATCTAGGAGTAGCCTTCGGGAATCTCGACAAAATGCCATTCAAGACCTCTGTTTGCAACATATATGAGAGCCATCTTGGAGTACGCAGCACCAACAGGGAACCCTGACCTGAGGTAGCATGTTAAGAAACTGGATAAAGTGCACAGGTATGCAACGAAATTAGTCCCAAAATTAAAGGATTTTGAGCTATGCGGAGAGGCTAAAGGAACTGAACCTGACGATATTAAAGGAAAGAATAACAAAGGGAGAAACGGCGGCATTTGAAATACTCAGGGAAAATGATAGGATAGACAGCGATAGGCTGAGAGGCGAGAAACAGGTACACGGGGGGCATAGTTGGAAATTAAAGACACAGATGACACTTAGTGATGTAAAGAAGTACTTCTTCAGCCTCAGAGTGATCAGGAAGTGAAATGATTTTGACAACGACGTGTAGAGGCAGGCGCCACGCATATTTTAAGAACAGTTACTACAGAACCCATTAGGCTGAGAATGGGGGGGAAGAGAAGGAATCTGGTAAGCGGCAAGTTGAGAGGCAGGTGCCAAGAGCTGAGACTCGACACGCTGAATTCACATATAGGTAAATAAATATAAGTACACATAGGTAAATACATAAAAGTACATATAGGTAAATACAAATAGGTAAATACGTATAAGTACGAATAGGTATTTATATATAGATGAGCACATATAAGTAAGTACACATAGGTAAGTACATATAAGTACGCACGCGCGCGCACACACGCACACACGCGCGCGCGCACACACACGCGCACACACACAAACACACACACACACACACACACACACTGCTGTTGCTCCATAAATGAATGACAAGCTAACGGAACTTCCGACTCTGTTTGCTCAAGCAAACACTGTTGTAAAAAACAGTAGCAACTTTAATGAGTAAACGAGAAGACTCGGCTGATATTTACAGCTCACCTTGTAAATTATTGTAAAACTGGTAAATTCATCTGGAAACGTTGAACCCTTACGGCTTATACTGGAATAGCAGGGGGGAGGGGGAGAGGCTATCAGACTTGCTCCGAGGAATAGGAGGGCTCCAATGTCATGGATCGAAAGCCTTTCACAAGCAACAACGGTCAGGCTGTAAAGCATTTTTCAGAGGAACATTTCACTGTCTTGTGATCCTTACTTCTCAACACGTGAGAAGATAGATTATACAATACACAGTTCACAAGTTACAGAATAAATTCACAAAATACAGCAGAGAATTCATAAAATACAACACTAACCTCACAAAATACAACACTAAATTAACAAAATACAGCACTAAATTCACAAAATACAACACTAAATTTACAAAATACAACACTAAATTCATAAAATACAACACTATATTCATAAAATACAGCACTATATTTACAAAATACAACACTAAATATCGTTAAGAAAAGAACACGCTCTTTCACTGTCACATTAAGTTTCACTGTCACATTAAGTTTCACTGTCACATTAAGTTTCACTGTCACACTGCTAATAATCGGCCCTTTAACTAAAAGTAATTTCACTGTACTCTAGATATCACTGTCACTACTACGCCATTTTTTCTGGTCACCGACGTCACTGCTCACAGACTCAGTTCTACCACAGCACTTGCTGGGCACTGTCGCTTGATATCAATGTCACTACATATCACTGTCATTCCATGTCCTATCACGAAAATTCGCCGAAGTCTTATTGTATTTCACTGTTTCACTACACCTCAGCTGAAGATTGTCACTCCGCATCACCGCCACGTTTCACTGCACTATGTCAAGGTGCCTCACAAATTCACTGCACTGTGGCAAGGTGTCTCACAGCTCACTGAACTGTGTCAAGGTATCTCACAGCTCACTGCATTGTCACGGTATCCCACAATCTCGCTGCACTATGTCACGGTATCTCACAGCTCACTGCACTGTATCACTGTCTCAGCACTGTCACATCGCTTCTCGGAACACCTTCATCACTGACCGCTAGCCAACTGTCACAACACACACACACACACACACACACACACACACACACAGGTATAATTGTTCAGTTTTCTTGTCTGTCCAATCCTCAACCTGGCATCCACCTCTGACTTGGAACGCCTGATCGTACCTCTTCTTAATACTGTGTGTGTGTGTGTGTGTGTGTGTGTGTGTGTGTGTGTGTGTGTGTGTGTGTGTGTGTGTGTGGCGCGTGCGCGTGTGTGTGCGTGCGCGTGTGTGTGCGTGTATGCGTGTGTGTGTACACTCAATTGTACTCACCTAATTGTGGTTGCAGGGGTCGAGACTCGGCTCCTGGCCCCGCCTCTTCACTGATCGCTACTGGGTCCTCTCTCTCTCTGCTTCCTGAGCTTTGTCATACCTCTTCTTAAAACTATGCATGGTTCCTGCCTCCACTACTTCACTTGCTAGGCTATTCCACTTGCTGACAACTCTGACTGAAATACTTCCTAACGTCCCTGTGACTCGTCTGAGTCTTCAGCTTCCAGTTGTGACCCCTTGTCCCTGTGTCCCCTCTCTGGAACATCCTAGCTCTGTCCACCTTGTCTAATCCCCGCAGTATCTTGTATGTCGTTATCATGTCTCCCCTGACCCTTCTGTCCTCCAGCGTCGTCAGTCCGATTTCCCTTAACCTTTCCTCGTACGACATTCTCTTGAGCTCTGGGACTAGCCTTGTTGCAAACCTTTGTACTTTCTCTAACTTCCTGACGTGCTTGACCAGGTGTGGGTTCCAGACTGGTGCTGCATACTCCAGTATGGGCCTAACATACACAGTGTACAGTGTCTTGAACGATTCCTTATTAAGGTATCGGAACGCTATTCTCAGGTTTGCCAGGCGCCCGTATGCTGCAGCGGTTATTTGGTTGATGTGTGCCTCCGGTGATGTGCTCGGTGTTATGGTCACCCCAAGGTCTTTCTCCCTGAGTGAGGTCTGTAGTCTTTGTCCACCTAGCCTATGCTCTGTCTGCGGTCTTCTTTGCCCCTCCCCAATCTTCATGACTTTGCATTTGGCTGGATTGAATTCGAGAAGCCAGTTACTGGACCACATGTCCAGCCTGTCCAGGTCTCTTTGCAGTCCTGCCTCATCCTCGTCCGATTTAATTCTTCTCATCAACTTCACGTCATCTGCGAACAGGGACACTTTCAGAGTCTATTCCTTCCATCATGTCGTTCACATATATCAAAAATAGCACTGGTCCTAGTGTGTGTGTGTGTGTGTGTGTGTGTGTGTGTGTGTGTGTGTGTGTGTGTATGTGTGTGTGTGTGTGTGTGTGTGTGTGCGTGTGCGTATGTGGGACCGACTCCCCACTCCAGATTAGAGCGCCATAAATCGGTCTTCTCCTGTGTTGTGGGATGTACATAGATGCATTCGTCTGGCGCTGATGTTGCGCCGTTACAATAGTCTTTCAGTCTTCACAGCCAGATGGTTCCCATTCACATTCAAATGGTTGATTTGCCGGCAGAAATGTGAACGTAGTGCATAATTTTGCATGTTATTTATTGTGTGTGTGTGTGTGTGTGTGTGTGTGTGTGTGTGTGTGTGTGTGTGTGTTTTGGGAGCTTTAATTCTTCATTCTGACTCTCAGTTTTCAACCAACTGACGTGAAATTAACTTCATGTCCACTTTAAATCCCTGTTTGAAGTCGGCTCTTTGTTCCACTGTCCATTTCATTCCACTTCCTTATGACTCTCCCTCTTTCCCAATACTTCCACCACATGATAATTAACTGTTGTATAGTGGCTGAAAAATATTTACATCTTCCCAGTAACTGAAACAAACGTTAACAGTTGCCAGGAAATACGAATATAAAATGGTAACTAATATTAAATATCACTAACTACAATTTGAACTGGATATTTGATGCTCTAAACTTCTTTAGCCATGATAGGTGTTCAGTCCTTTAGCCTTGATTGAAGGTGTTCAGTCCCATAGCCATAATGGAAGGTGTTCAGTCCCTCAGCCTTGTTTCAAAGTGATCATTTCCTAAGCCTTGATGGAAGGTGGTCAGTTCCTTAGCCTTGATAGAAGGTATTCAATTTCTTAGCCTTGTTAGGTGTTTAGTCCAGTAACCTGAAGCCGAGACGTAAGGATAGCAGTTTCAGCAGGCAGGTGGCGTCTCAAGCAGCTGTCTTGAGAGCAACGCCATCTAGGTTCCAGGAAATTCCCTAACTCCAAGTCAGAATTCCCAGGATATGAACAAATAGCGGTAGGCATTCCAGGGTGCAAGAAGAGCTTACATACTGCAGACTATATCTTTCTGTTGAAAGAAAGATACAGCCTAATACATGAGGCAGCCGCTCACTCTAATGCTACTCTCCCAACACTGCTCCTTCACACCACTACTCTTCCCAACCTTTGCCACCCCCTACCATTTACCTGCACCAGCTATCCTCTCCCGGTCTAAAGTAGCAGCATACCGCTACTTTCACCGCAGTTACTTTCACATGTCTCCTCACATCCTCACCCTCAACACATATCCTCACCTCCCTTCCATCTCCCACCTCCCATTTAACCTTTTACCTTTCCTCCCTATGCCCATTTTCCCACTCAATTTCCTTTTCTTCCCCTTCCTTCCAAACCAATCAGTAATGTCGAGTACTTCACAGTCACAAGGCCCTTAGTCTGATTCCCTAAAATGAAGAAATACATGGGCCTGTTTCCTTATTTCCTTCCGCCTGCTGCCCCTGCCTACCTAGCAATAAAAATAGGTACCTGTGTATTAGCCGACTGTTGTGGGTCGCATCCAGTGGAATAACATGTGTTAGAACACTACAACCCTGCTGAAATACTGCATCTTCTGTAAGAAAACAACTCCAGTCCCGCTGAAATGTTTTACTCTAAGTAAACACCAGTTCCACTAGAATATCACGTATAAGAAAACACTCCAGTACTTCGTAGAGAAACTCCAGTAGCTACTGGAAGTATTCAAGATTTGAGTGAAAAGTATCTGTGCCTCTAACGATAAGTAAAAAAAAAGTCATGACATCAAGAAGCATGCGTAGATTATCTAAGGATGAAATTTCCAACACTGCTGAAGAGGTTGATTCCAGCTACCACGCAGGGCTTTGCTAATATAACTTGTCCATGTAAGGGATACCTGAAGACGTTTCAAGTTCTCACGATATCCCAAGAAGCAGCATCATATCTTGACAGTAATAGTTTAAAATGTCTACAAGTTGATGAATAAGACACTTGCGCAATATCTGGTCATCTTTATTATATCGTTATAATCAACAAGAAGTGCGAAACCCACACAGTTTCTCTGCTCCCTCTCTCAGGATCCATGGAGAGCTGTTATCTGGGTCCACCGCCTTTGAGGTATGTAGTTCACCTAACAGTTTTTTCACCTCATGGATATCTATAGTCACGACGATGTTTCGCCAGCCATTGGCGTTTTCAGTACAGAGATTATGCACTGTCCAGCTTATAATGTCTGAATGGAATTGAAAAATAAAATACTAGTTGGCAAAACATCTTTGTAAGTAAAAATACCCAGGGTTACATATGTTATACTCGTTCTGTGTTAGTGTGACTTGATAATGGTTCAAGTCGGAGCGAAACGCCGTCGTAAACTCCTCTCTCCAATGTGTAGGTTATTTGTGTATTATTTATTTTCTATTTCAGGTTTGCAACATCAGTCATTAACAGGATTCACTTTAAATAATTTTTACGTTAAAATATCATTGATTACGAGTAAGTGTTTTTAGTAAGTGTTGAAGGTGAGGTTTGAGCACTGCGAGCGCCGCTACCAACAGGCTAAGTGGTAAGAAAGTTTGCGATTAGCGAGTGGAGGTTCGAGCCGGCATCACCACTTCTAGTGCTGATTGACTCGCACTCGTTTGGAGCTTCGTGAACTATAACAAGTTAGTAGTCGGCGGCGACGCCAGTCGCAAGAGTGACTTAACACCAGGCGCACCTTAGCCAGGCTTCCCTTGCCAATACCAACGTGTTTCGTTTCCCTTATTTGTCTTGTTTTCTTTGCTTGTCTTTGCACGTCCTTGTTTGTCGTGTTTTGTGTTCATCATTATCTGAACGCTAATGAACTGCAGATGTCGGAGGTGGAGGAGGTATATGATAATTACTGTTAGCAAATATTGAAGATAACTGTAATAACACGATTGTAAACAAACCTGGGAACGGGTGGCGTTTAAACCCATGACAACTGAGTCGTAAAACTCCAGACCAGTGCGTAAACCACTGGGCCAGCTGGCTACAGTACGATTTATCCAACTAGTTATATTTATGCACCACAGGAAGGTTAGCATGGGCCACCACTGTGACCATGCTAGTTCTTTTTCCTTCTGCTATGCTACCTCCGTGGACGGAGGATGGAGCCTCCATTTCTTGTGTTGCCTGACCCACACGGGTTACAGTATGCCTCTACCAGCAAATTCAGCAAAAACTTTTCAACCTAAGAGTGATCAGGAAGTGGAACGACTTAATGAGGTGGTGATGGACGTGAACATGTTACACAGCTTTAAGATTAGGTATGAAACCACCCACTAGGCAAGAAACTAAGAAAAAACTTGATGTGTGCAGTAAAGAGGCATGGGCCGGGGGTCGGGACAAACAAAAACAGGTAAACATACACACACACACACACACACACACACACACACACACACACACACACACACACACACACACACACACACACACTATGACTCGACCTCTGCAACCACAATTAGGTGAGTACACACGCACACGCATGTACAACACAGTCCAACCATGCAAAAAAACAAAAAAACAAAAAACTGATAAGAGAGCCAAACATTAATGTTGAAGAAACACAGAGGCCGACAAGCACTTGGTGAAGGACCGAGCACTTAAAATGAACACTAATACAAAGCTATTACACAGGCACATCAGGAGGAAAATTACAGTAAGAGAGCAGATGATACGACTGAAGGAGGCAGGAGTTTTGTGAGTGGTAAACTACCATTAAAAAAAAACAACAACTCAGAAATCAGGATTCCAACAAAGGATTCCATAATATCTTCATAACTGAGCCGGGCTCAGTACCATGAACATGTATGGTAGTAGTGAATCAAATTGCAAAACATTTAAATATGGTGAAATAAAGACTACTGAGAGACTGACATATGTAAAGCTATGAAAGCTTGGAAGATATCAATTTGGGTATTTAAAGCAGCTGAAGTATTAAGAAGACTCTTTACTCGGATTTTTAAACTAAATTTAGTCTGTGGATTTGCGAGAAAACTAGAAGATTGGCGATTGTGGGCGGAGATCATTGCGAATTTTAACACTAATTCCGTGTGGGTAATACAGTGCAATTGGTGGAGGCTCGAACCTCCACCTGCTGATTCGAGAGACATACTGTACCCGACATATTAATGTTCCTGATAATTATTTCTTAGAAACATGTTCATTTAGACTTTAAATCACTGAAATAAAAGTCTCATATAATTATATAAATCTACGGTGCTGAATTTTGTGCGAAACAAAAGTTGTGCCGGAATATAACAACAAACAGGCGATAGGATTTAACCTTAGGATAGCACACTAGAGACCTTAGGATAGCACACTAGAGACCTTAGGATAGCACACTAGAGACCTTAGGATAGCACACTAGATACCTTAGGATAGCACACTAGAGAAATAAAGGATCTCACATGACATGACAGGACTCATCCACATCAGTTGACGGAGAGTTCCAGGGCCGGCCCATGAGCTAGAACCTGATCCCTCAAACTGTGCTGGTGATATACACTCACCTTTTTCCTCCATCCCTCCTACCCTCCTCCTCCTCTCTAATCCTCCTCCTCCTCTCTTTTATCCTCATTCGTCCTCTTGCTTTCGTCACCCCTTCCTTCCTCCTCTTCTCTCATTTTCTTCGTCCCTCTCCACATCTTCCCTTAATTCACTTCCTATTTCTTTTCTTCCCTTCTTTCCTTCCCATCCCTCTTCTTGGCCAGGCTAATGTAGTAACACTTCAAGATATTGACATTTTTCCTCACCCTGGGAAGCCTTTTTTTCCCCTGCTGACTTAGACATTGACATTTTTCCTAACCCTGGGAGATTATTCTTTTCTCCCTTATGTTTGAAATATTGTCATTTTCTCAAAATTTTGAGACATTACCTTCCCCCCCCCCCAACTATCTTATAGACTGGTATCTTTCAAACTGTCTTGTACAGCATCCTTATATACTTATATAAGATTTTAAGCTATGTTTGACAAGTCCTCGACCATCCCACCCCAATGTCATGTGTAAGGTGAATATCTCAGTTTTATTTGTCTTCTGCTGTTCTGTTATTTTTACAGGTCCTTGGTAATGTGATAAATCACGAAAGCGCTTGGAATTTCGCTATTTTTCGCATTGGTTGTTTTATACACTTATGTACTAATTTATACCTTAAACACTGTCTCATATTCCTTAAGAAAATACTTGTTTTTATCTGTCTTTCCTCACTTCTAAGATATAGAACCTTTTCTTAATTGTAGCAGTGTTTTCTTTCTCTTGTCTTTGTTGTTGTTAAACTCCCCTCACGAGATCCCAGAATTTTTTCCACCTGCTTAGAAAGGTTTTCATCATTAGAAGAAACTCGTTTATTTTTTGGATGGGCTTCCCGAGCTGAGGTAAGCTGGAAGGTCGAGGTTCTGGCCTCCTGAGGTGAACCTTCCACTTAACAATTTAGTTAAACACGAATGGCCTCAGTATTTATCTTCCTTTTTTACATTCTCTTTTCTTTTCCTTCTCCTTCTACTCATTCTCCTACCTCTGTTTCTCTAGTTACTCCTTCTTGTTCTCCTATTTATGTTACTTCTGTTCCACCTTAATCTAGACAGATAGTCCTTAATCTAGATAGAAATACATTGTTGTTCTCGCGGATAGTCTATGTGTGGACTCCAAAGTTCTCCATTATCTGGTTTTTCCCTTGTACTCGTCTTCCTCTTCCTGCGACTCCTACATCTACTCCATTACCCCCCCTCCTTCTCTCCCTTATTATTCGTGTTTGTGTCGTTACAGTATTTATTTCTCTTGTGTTTGCTGCCTATGTTACTACTACCGTAACTCTTTTCTTCTACTGTCTTTGTTTACATCTCCCTCGTCTCCTGTTGTTGATATTGCTTCTGTTGTTTTATATGTTTGCCGTTTCTGCCACTATTGCTAATGCTATTGTTACTGCAGCTGTTGTTATGTTCTTTGCCGGATAGACAGGCTTGATGTAAAGAAAAGTGCAGAATATATTTTTACTGAAACAGCGTTTCGCTCTTTGTTGAGTTTTATCAGGTCCTGTTTCGCTCTGTGTAGAGCTTCATCAAGTCCTGACTTGATTAAGTTCTATACAGAGCTCTACACAGTTAAACTTTATGAAGCTCTATACAGAGGGAGACGTTGTCCCAATAAAAGTTCTCTCGTCACCTGTGATATTCCTTCATGTTTACTGATGTTGCTGTTATTTCTATTATAAATGTTGCTGCTGTTCCTTGTTTTTTCTTGCTGCTGCTGCTGCTGCTGCTGCTGTTATTAATAATATTGCCATTGTTTTTGTTCATCTTTATTTGCTCGTGTTGTTGCTGCTGTTACTTTTGTTACTGCTGTTTTTGTTGCTGTTATTACTGCTGTTGTTGCTTTTGTGTTTTTTTTTTTTCGCCTCTAGGTGTTGCTGTTACTACCATTGTTATTGTGTTGCTGTTATTACTACTCTAGTTGATACTGCTGTTGATGCTGTTTCTCTAATGTTTAGTGGTGGTGTTGAAGACACTGCTGTCACTACTACCACCACTACCACCATCACTACCACCAGCACTACCACCATCACTACCACCATCACTACCACCAACCCACCACCAGCATACCACCATCACTACCACATCACTACCACCATCACTACCACCAGGACTACCACCAGCACTACCACCAGGACTACCACCATCACTACCACCAGCACTACCACCATCACTACCACCAGGACTACCACCATCACTACCACCAGCACTACCACCATCACTACCACCATCACTACCACCATCACTACCACCAGCACTACCACCAGCACTACCACCAGGACTACCACCATCACTACCACCAGCACTACCACCAGCACTACCACCAGCACTACCACCATCACTACCACCAGGACTACCACCAGCACTACCACCAGCACTACCACCCAGGACTACCACCATCACTACCACCATCACTACCACCAGCACTACCACCAGCACTACCACCATCACTACCACCATCCACTACCACCAGCACTACCACCAGCACTACCACCAGGACTACCACCATCACTACCACCATCACTACCACCATCACTACCACAGCACTACCACCAGCACTACCACCATCACTACCACCATCACTACCACCAGCACTACCACCAGCACTACCACCAGCACTACCACCAGCACTACCACCAGGACTACCACCATCACTACCACCATCACTACCACCAGCACTACCACCAGCACTACCACCATCACTACCACCAGGACTACCACCAGCACTACCACCAGCACTACCACAGGACTACCACCATCACTACCACCAGCACTACCACCAGCACTACCACCATCACTACCACCAGCACTACCACCAGCACTACCACCAGCACTACCACCAGCACTACCACCAGCACTACCACCAGCACTACCACCATCACTACCACCATCACTACCATTATCACCACCACCATCATAACCGCCACCATCACTACCACCATCACTACCACCATCACTACCATCATCACCACCACCATCATAACTGCCACCATTACTACCACCACTACTGCTACCATCATTTACTACCACCACTATTGCTACCACCATCACTACCACCACCACTACTGCTACCATCATCACTACCACTATCACCAGTATCACCACCACCATCACCAGTATCACCACCACCATCAACAGTATCACCACCACCTTACTACCGCTACCACCACCACCACCACTACCACCACCACACCACCACCACCACTACACTGCCACCTCCACCGTTACCATCACCGTTACCACCACCTCTCCCCCTCCACCACTACTACCCCCACCACCAATATTACCACCACCACCACTACCACTGCCACCTCCACCACTGCTACCATCACCGTTACTACCACCACTCCACTCCACCACTGCCACCTCCACCACTGCTACCATCACCGTTTACTACCACCACTCCCACTCCACCACTACTACCTCCACCACCAATACTACCACCACCATCATTGTCACCACCGCTACCACTACCACGACCACCACTACCACTGCCACCACCACTGCCACTGCCACCTCCACCACCGCTACCACCACCGTTACCACCACTCCCACTCCACCACTACTACCTCCACCACCACTACCTCCACCACCAATACTATCACCACCATCACCACCACCTCCACCTCCACCATCACCTCCACCACCTCTACCACCACCGCTACCACTCCACCACTACTACCTCCACCACCATTGCCACCACCGCTACCACCACCACCACCACCACCACCACCACTACCACTGCCACCTCCACCACCGCTACACCACCGTTACCACCACCGTTACCACCACCACTCCCACTCCACCACCACCACTATTGCTATGGACTCTGTTGTCGCATCAATGTTTATTACTCTTGTTTTTGTTACTTCCTACTCTAGTTAACTGTTGTTGTTATTGTTTTTGATTGTTGCTGTTATTGTGCTTCACCTGCTGTTTATGCTACTGTCATTGTGCTGTTGCTGCTGCTCCTGTTATTACTTCTCTCTGCTGCTGCTGTTTTTGTTGCTGCTGGTGCCTTTGCTGTTATTGCTGCTGTTATTACTACTGTGCCGCTGCTGTTGGTGTTAGTGTCTTTACTGCTGTTGCTGTTATTACTACTGTCTCTGCTGCTGCTGTTATTGCTACTGCCTTTGATGCTATTGCTGTTGTTATTGTTACTGTTTCTCCTACTGCTGCTGCTTCTACTGTCGATACTTTTGCCTCCGCTGTTGTTGCTAACGCGCTGCTGCAGTTGCTGCTGTTAATGTTGCTGCTATTGTTACTTCTGACTCTGCTTCTGTTGATGTTAATATTACCCTCTCTGCTACTGCTTTTACCATTAGTACTATCTCTGCTGATGTTAGTGAGCTGTTTCTGCTGCTACTGCTGTCTCTTCTGTTATTGTACTTCTGCTGTTAGTACTGCTGTCTAATCTGTGCTACATTTGTGCTTCTGCTGATGCTGCTTTTGTTGCTATTAGACCTGCTTTCTTTGTTACTACTGTTATTTCGCTGCTGCTGCTAGTAGCGACGTCTGCTTCTTTTGCTGTAGTCGTTAGTACTGCTGCTTCTGTTGCTGTCTTTAGCACCGCTGCTACTTCTGTAACTGTGCTGCTGCTGTTATAGCTTCAGTAACCGGGCTGCTGCTGCTGCTGCTGCTGTGGTTATAGCTTCAGTAACCGGGCTGCTGCTGCTGCTGCTGCTGTGGTTATAGCTTCAGTAACCGGGCTGCTGCTGCTGCTGCTGCTGTTGTTACAACTATTACCTATGTTGCTGCTACTACTGCATTTATGCTACTGCTGTTGCTACTGCATTTATACTGCTGCTGCTATTTGTGCTGCTACTGCTGTAACAGCTCTTTTGTCTATATTAGTGATGTTATTGTGCGCCTGCTGTTAGTACTATTTCCTTCGCTAATAAACTGGTGAAGAGACTGCTCTAAGGAGTGGTGCTGGGAATATTGCTGGGAACCGGAAGCTTGAAAGATTGGTGCTAGGCGTAGGGAAGAGCTACATATAGTGGTGCTGTAAGCTGACAGTGCTGGGACATCCAGTTGAAACCTTATAGAGTTGATGCTGGGAGCTAGAAGCCTGAAGGATAACTGTGGGATCTGGATCCTCATAGAACTGGTACTGAGATGATGGGGGGTTGAAGTTCTGGCGATGAGAACTGGGGAATAGAAGGACTGGGTGAAGGAACTGGGGGCTTGAAGGACTGGTTCTGGCTGTTGGGCGGACTTGCGCTGGGGGCTGGGGGCTGGAAACTGAGCTGGGAAGGTCTCAGTCCCTCACAGCATCCGTGCCGGGCTGGGAGAGAAAAGTGTGTATTATCAGATTTATGTGGTGTGTGCGTGGTTGCCATAGCGACGGCGCGGAGGCTGGCAACGGGGCACGGTGATTGGTCGGGCGTGGGGTCGGAGGCGTGTCGGCGGGGTGGGCGGGTGGGGCGGCGTGGTACCGCCCCGCTGGGCCTTGTAGTCGCGTGCTGGCATCGCCGCTGTGGACTGTGTAGCTTCGAGTGCGTGTGTGGACTGTGCTTAAAACCATCGTTCCCCCCTCCTGCCGCCGCCGCCGCCGCCTCGCTACCGCTACCACCACCACCACCACCACCACCATCGTCCCCTTCAGCGTCCCCCCACACGCACAGGGGAGTGTGTGAGCAGCCCCAGAGGTCGTCAGAATTGTGGTTACGTCCTCCCCTGTGTATCATGGCTCTTATCACCGAGGTCCGCCCACACCTCTATCACTACCCCGCCCTCAGTCAGGTAACTACACTTGTTGCACTACCCTCCTTGCATGACCCAGGCACGGAGCCAGCAACAGCAGGCAGCCAGCGGCCCGCAGAGCGTCCTGGCCCACGCCCAGGAACCTGTAGCTTCGGCAGAGCAACATGTGGAACGGCCCCGTTGCTGCTGCTGCTGCTGCTGCTGCTGCTGCCGCCTGCCACCACCCGCGCTGCTGCTTGCTTCCTGCCGCCGTGACAAAGGCTTGCTGCCTGAGCTCCTGCCATGTCGTTCGTTGTGGTCACGACATCGTCAGCGGGGCAGGAAGACTCTCGTCTGGGCGCACGTGAGGTGGTAGGAGCGCGCGGCGGGACGCATAAATTATACATCAGTGAGCCATGTGGCTGTAGCGTGTGGAGGTGCCACCTACCTATCCCACTATCCTCTAGTGGAAAAGAGTGGTGGCTAGACACCGTTTATAGTACCTCTAAGCACATCTATTCTCTACCCAGCTCTAATACCCGCAAAGAAAAAATGCCTCCCGATTTTACTAAATCCAAATCCTTCCACCAGGCTTTTCTCTCTGAGTCTTCCAATGTCCGGCAATGTATGCGAAAAATAAACAGAATAAAAGCTGAGTAAAGTGGAGAGGGCCATTATATACGTAGTAAATAAAGATTCGGACAATGAAAGACCGTCATGCAAGGGGGAGAGAGGGAGGGACAAAGACTAGCGAGTATTACCCCCAATATTTTCATGTTACGTGGGAATACATGAGTTACAGCGCTCCGTCACTGCCTTGCTTTATAAGCTGTGCGGGGAGAGGTGAGCCCTACTGTATCACTTCTGACGAAGTCACAGCTGCTACACCTGAGAATCTTTACTCAAGAAACGTTCTTATCTGCACAACTGGCTTCTTCCGTCGAATATATGCGAATATTACACGGGGGATTATAGATGTATGTGCGTCACTTCTAATTGAAAGCAAAAACAAAAAAAAACAAAAAATGAGTCTTGAGTCTCGGGCAGAGTTATGGGGATGTCTCCGTGAGACGAGTAATGGGGTTCAACTATTCTACTTAACCTTGCAAACGTTGTTCTGATGTGTGCAGACGTAGTATTCGAAGGCACTCGGCGGTGCAACGTTCAATTTCGTCAGTGTTTTGATCCACGCCAATCATGTGGTAAGATACTCTAAAGGAGTCTACATTATAGCGCTGTATTTCAACGCTGTCCTGGTCTACTCCGGCAGTATTACGTGCTTTTTGGGGTGCGACGTCATTTTTCAACGTTCTGATCTACGCCAAGACTCAACGAAATTGTTAGGAAGTGTGGGATAACACCAAACCTTGAGACAGGTATCGTTATTACTCTATTCACAGGGAGAGCGTTAGCCTATACGATCATAGAACCTCTGAAGATGAAGGGCGGTTAGCTCCAGTGGCTTTGATCAAGAGTCCCTTCACCATCATTAACAAGGCATCCCTCCGTGAGAGGATGGGTTGGTGTAGCTCCTGTCGTTCGTGTGTGTGTGTGTGTGTGTGTGTGTGTGTGTGTGTGTGTGTGTGTGTGTGTGTGTGTGTGTGTGTGTGTGTGTGTAGTCGAAGTAGATCCATGTTTCGTGACGTAAACGCAAAGTTACGCGACAGTTCCTCGTGACTAGAAACACGTCACGCACAGTCGCACGCACACAAGCGCACACACCACACACACGCACACACGCACACCACATACACAAACACAGCGCGCGCGTTCACACACACACACACACACACACACACACACACACACACACACACACACACCACACACACACACACACACACACCGAGAATTTATCGAGCTCTTATTGAAGAATGAAATTGATAATCGGAAAGTATGTACGTGCCCAGGCGGCGAGGAAGGTTTACCGAGCGGAGAATGGCACTCTGCAACGACCTGACTACCTGACATGTCGACTCACTACCAGACCTGACTGCGAACTCGTTAACTGACCAGCTACCTCCGGGGCTGACTGCCAGACCTGCAGATTGATGACCTATCCTGACCAACAACTTAAGGAATAAATATCTAACCTAAATATTGACTACCTGAGTAGATGTGCGACCTACAGATTTGACAAAGTCATTCTCCCGTTCTCGCCTACCAATTCCAGAATGAAAAATAGAAGAGGTGTCTCTAATATCGCCCTCTAGGTTATATTTATAGGTTTAAAGTTTATAACTGCTCGAGGTCATTAAGTCCGCGTCTCACTTGCACACTGCCTGGCAAGAATACCAGGACCCCTGAAGTAAGGACAATAGTGAACATTAAAATGGTATAAAATACCGACAGGTTGTTAGGTAAGACACATATGCAACAGTTAGGTATCGTATTGTGAAACTTTCGCCTACACAGTAGGCTTCTTCAGCAAGTACAGAAAGTTGATAGTAAGCAGAAGATACTTGAAGACGATGTAATGAGTCCATCACCTTAAAGTTTGAAGGTGGTCAGTCCCTCAGTCTAGGACAATGCTCTTCTCCAGACTGAGGGACTGACCACCTCAAAACTTTAAGGGTGATGGACTGATTACATCGTCTTCAAGTATCTTCTGCTTCTATCAACCTTTCCTGTACTTGACTGAAGAAGCCTACTGTGTAGGCGAAACGTTTCACAATAACGATACCTAACTGTTGCATATGTGTCTTACCTAACAAGGACAATAGTACAGTTTCAGCGTATATACACTAAGATGAAGTACACTCGGGGCATGTACATGGAGAGATGCACACTTCTGTGTACATTGACAAAATAACACTAGTCTCTGTTACACATCCAGCAAATTTTCTCACTTAGGCTGCGTCTAACGTGTTCTCAACTTGTTAAGGATACTTTAATGTTGAACTTTGGGGATTAAGGTGAACTCTAAGTGTATATATACTGAAACATACACACCTACAAGTGAATTTCCACTGCTGCTCTGAGTGAACACACTACTGAAAGAATATATAAGCATATACAAAGTGTCACACTTTGGTTGGCTGGTTAATTGAGTCAAAGGCAAATAGACAACAAAAGTAATAAGGTCTACATGTCACCTGTACACCACCAATCAAAGATACGTATGATCTCGGCACACATACAGTGATAGATATACATCTCTCATGTATGTAACTTTGCTTGTTACGGTTAATTGGTTAGTTAATTGAGTTGAAAGTCTAGCAACAGTTCAATGGGTCATTAAGGCTGTATGTCACCTCTTTATCACCAGTGAAGATTACTTTAATCCCTATTTTAGGAATTATAATAAATTATCATATATATATATATATAATATATATATATATATATATATATATATATATATATATATATATATATATATATATATATATGTCTTATGTCTGACAAACAGAAATGCGGTAATTAGGGAAAAATGTGTAAAATATCGGGGTATTATGTGTGAATTTTGTGTGATAATGTGAAATTAGTGTGAAATCCGAATGGTAAATGATGGAAAAAAACTATAGATTCACTTACATATAAACGAGAAAATTTAAATAAAGGAATTTCTAAACGAGGCACCAAACTGATGCAAATGGGAAAACGTGGAAGATTATACCAAGATGACGGAATGTGATGTAAATGCTTCAGAAAACCGACAGGTTGAAGAATGAGACACTTCTTCAATATTTGGGATTCTTTGTTCATTGATTCCCATTATTATTATTATTATAATCAAGGGGGAAGCGCTAAACCCGGAGGATTATACAGCGCCTGGGGGGGGGGATGTGGAAGGCATTCAGGCTTAATTCGAGGAAACTGGAGCACAGATCCAATTCCCTAAATCAAGAGCCCCTCACCAACATCGAGGAACCTTCCTTGATGGGTAATGATTCCCAAATATTGCAGAAGTGTCTTATTCCTCAAGAAGACGGAGTGTTGCAAGGTCGGCAGTGTTCTTGGAAATGGATGACACACATGTCCAGATCTTGAGTATCTTAAGTGCCGAAACGTTTCGCCTACGCAGCAGGTTTCTTCATATTCTCTACTGAGGAAACTTTTCGTCAGTGAACATACCCCCAGTGTTGGACATGTGTCTTATTCATCAAATATTGTATATCGTCAGTAATATGTCGCTTGGTTCTCAATGGCGAAGAAATTTCTCCTTAAACATTTACAAGCATCTACTCATGTCCATATACCGTGTAAATAAACCCTTTAAATTTACCCATGTCCATATACTATGTAAATATACCATATTCATATACCGTTCCCGGCTAGTGTCCATACGCTAGTAATGCCAAGCACGTCCAGTCAGCACTCTTGTACAGAGTGCGGCGTCCTGTACTCGACATCGTGTACTCGACAAGCATTCTCACACTCTGCATCGTGAGGGAAAACAACAGGGAAAATAGGAACGAATAACCTTTCAGTGTTTTTTTTTTTTGAGGGGGGAGGAGAGAGAAAAAAACGAAATCTCCATCGTTTTTATAAGGGAGCGCGGATTCTGGAGGATTACTTCTCGGATTCACTCAGCTGTGGTTCATAGAGCCAAGTGTGCCACAGAAATCACATTACTAAGGGCAATTTCCTTACCCAGGGTATGGGGGGGGGCTTCTTGATGCTCGGGTTGAGAGGGCTTTTGATCCATGGAAATGGTTGTTATCCAACCCCCCTTCCAAAGGCCAGATCTGTTTACTCACCTTACTCGAATTATCCCATTTCCCAAGAGGCTGTAAGTCCCTGACGAGTTTAGTGCTTCCTTGTGAATAATAATAGCATTAATAATAATAATAATAATATAATATAATATAATATAATATAATATAATTAATAATAATAATAATAAAATAAGTAAGCGTGTGCTGGTTTTAGCAGAGTAAAGAGAACATTTTTTTTTAATAACTTTCTAGTAATTATATAAACACAAAATCATCTTATGACACAGCGGAGATATATATATATATTTTCTTATTTTTCTTAAAATAGAATGAGAGAAAAGGACGTAATGCAAATTTTAATCGGATGATCCTCAGCATCCATTTATAAACACACACAAC